ACAACAACAACACAAAGCCGCAAGGCTGCAAATTATGACAAACAAGACAAGAACAACCTTCAGATTCGATGTCCCCAACAGGATTTTCAGCTCTGGATTGGAAGAATGATTAGTCTAACAGGACATGGTTGGAGATAAACTAGAAAGTAAAACATAAAAATTTTGGGGAAAAGCTATACATCTAGGCCAACAAGATTATCTATATTGTATGCATTTAAATGTAAATTTGAAGTATGTGGTATTTTTTTAATGTTATTATTATATATATAGGACAAAAACAAGGCTGCAGAGCACATACAATCCCTCCAAAAAACCTGGTTCTCTCCTGGGTGGTGGTGCGGGTGCATAATACTGAGGAGGTGCCATAACTGGAGGTGGCCCTTGATAAGCACCTGCACCATATTTTATACACAGGTAAAATTAACCAAAATCTGTATAAATTCCTCAAACTTTCAAAATGGTTGTCCCAGAAAATGAAAATCAAGAAACACTCAAAAACACTAGTGTGGGAAAAACAAGATTTCCAAGATCATTTAAGAACTCAGGATCGATGCAAGGATTTGATATACCTGGAGGAGGATAGGGATATCCGTACTTGTAGTCAGTCATGTTGGCAAAACACCAGAGAAAGAGTGAAACGGAGGATAAGAATATGTAGATTTGGGATTGAGGCAGGCAGGCATGTGCATTTAATTTATACATGGAAAAAGAGAGAATTAGCAAGGATTGGACATCGGTTGAGGAAGAGAATATATTGTGTGGAAAGGAAAAGAAGGATCCTGAAACAAACTGCTTAATAAAGTGCATCAACAACGAGTAGAGTATATAAAGTGTTGCTTTTTTGAGTTTGGTAGGCGTAAAACCAAAAGCAATGAGATAATATAATTTTAAGACGAGCAGGAAATGTCAGATTTTAGATTTATTTCAGCCCACAATTTATGGTATGCAAGAAACAAATAAAACAGCTATAAGATAAAATGAATCTTTGAAGTTTATTTCACATGAAATTTGAATCCTTATTTATGAGCATTTGAAATTAAGATACCTTATGTGGTGAGTTTCTCTAATCTAATTTTTTGGTTTGAAACATTTTCAAAGGTATTGTATAATTTCTTAATCACTAAAACTTTATTCCATTGATTAATATATCGAATTTAATCAATTAACAATATTTTTGGAATATTTTAAAAATATTCAAAAATAAATTTTTAAGACGATTATATTGTGCTCTCTTTGAAGCATTAACTAGTTGAAATCTTTTTTCAAGTTATAAAATGTTGTTATCCGTCAGCTGATTCCTGAGGAATAAAATACCGCAAAGGCGTGGCCAGAAGCAGCTCAATGCTTTTATTTTGCACTTTTTTTTTTTTCCATTCGGAGTTTCCTAAGGAGGGTCTCAAACATTTGTTCAGATTCGAACAGGTCCTTTGTCTGATAAACCAATATTCCTTACACACCATGCATAGGATTAGGATTAGTTTCGCTTAAATGGTTTATATATACATATGTCGTTCTCTTAATATAAAGTAATTCAATCATTTTAAAGTAAAAATAATTATTTTTAATCTATGAGATTAAATTTATGTTTTATTATAAATTTAAAAATTATATCAATAATTTAAATTATATAAATTTTAAAAAAATAATTTTGATCAATAAATAAATTATCATATTTTAATTTTATATATATCAAATAAAATAATATTATTTAATTTAATTTATTCATAATATCATTTTACTTTATCCGTATTACAATTTTATATATCAAATGTAACCTATATATATATATATAAATTTAATTTAATTATCCTTCCTTTCTTTTGAATCAAATTGATGAGGGATCTTGAAACTTCATAAAAAATAAAACAATTAACCATTTTTGGAAGATAGTATTTGACGCAAGTAAAAGGAAGCATTGACCAATGGAAAATTAGACTTGTTATTTTCATTTGTTTTCAATTACCATGTGGTGGTGTTTGGATTCCGGGAAAATTGAAGAAGAAAAATTAAAAAGAACGTCGTCTTGATTAATTATTTGAAAAAAATTTTTGGCAACAGCCTTGTTGGGAAAAGGAAGAAGAAAATCAAATATTGAAGTGCACCTTTTACCGTACGCAAGCGGGCATTGTTTCAGATCTCAATTATGCTCTCATAACTTAAGCGAGTAATTCCATTCTTGCTTTATTGTTTATTTGTTTTTCTTCTTGTCCCTTTCTTCCTTTATCCTAATTCCATTTTTCTTTTTTCTTTTTTTTTTTATAAATTGTTCTTCCTTTTGTTTGAGTCTGTTTGGGCACCTCAAATAATTCAATGTTGTATTGATTGACAACTAACCTCACTACTTATCCTAAGGGAATCCCTTTAGACTCCCTTTTCATTATTTCAATCAAATTCTTGCATATTCTTTTACTTATTTGTGGACTAAATAAAAATTTACAGTGACCTCTGTCTAATAATCACACGATTTATTAATAAAATATTAAAATTTTAATTTTAATAATTAAAATTTAATAGTTTATAACTTTGAATATTTTAAAAAATTATACTGACTTAAAAAAGGTAAAAAGCTTTCGATTGGGATCATTGCTTCGTTAAAATGATGGTTATTCAATGCTTCTCTCCAAAAAAAAAAGTAATAGAAAGTTTCTTTATATAATATAACAATATTTGAAAATTAGTGCAAAGATTTAGTTTGAAATGACAAAATGCATTTGGTCTTAGCAAAATTTAATAAATGTTGATTTAATGATTTTTAATAATGGCTTAAATTAAAATTCTTAATTCTCACCTGGGATTTTGATTTAACAAAAGAAAGTTTGTTCTGACAAAAAGCAACAAAAAAGGGCAAAATTATCCTAATTACTTTTACATAATTTGGGCCTAGCCAAGCCCAAATCCCTTTTACAAAATATTGTTCTATGCAACTTTAATTCGCTCTGTCTGATATATATCGACTTTAAAGCCATAACAATGTTGAGCCCGAAGTCAGCATGAACCAAGCTAACTAATGGGCCTAAAGATGTAATTCCATTTTTTAATTAAAAAATTAATTGAATTAAATTATAATTTTATTTTATCCGTGAGATTATCAATTTTTTTTTTGGAACATAAAAAAAAGTACTGAGAAGGGCAGCTTAGTTTCACCTGTAAGGATTAATGTAATTAACAAGAAAATTTACATTTTCTTTCATTATTAATCAAGGTTCGTTGTTATGGATAATATTTTAAAAATAAAATATTAAATGCGCCAAATTTAACAATAGTGAAAAACCATTTAAATTCCATTTTTGTTTTCTAAATTAACAATTTAAATTAAAAAAAAAATTTGTCTTAATTACACAAGGGTAATCAAGATTAAACCACCTTGACCCTTGCTAAACCAACTCTAATGTACCCAATATTTTGTTAAATACGAAAACTTTTTAAACTTTTCTTTCTTATACTTCATGTTTAAATTAAATTAAAATTAAAATTTAATTTATTAATTCTTTTGCCTGAGATGTAATATGTTTTTTTTTTCCCTTGCGTTCTTCCATAAAAAAATCGGATCGCAATAATGGCCGAATTAAATTTTAAAATATTTGTTGCCAAAAAACTGTCCAAACCCCACCTAAAACCAAACAGATAAACCTTTTAAATTGGACAATGATATAATAATAATGACAATAATAGTATTGCTTAAACGAAATTACAAAAATCTAGTCAAACAGAGGGGCATCTTAAGTCAAAAACCAAAACAGCACACCGCACAAATTGGCGCCACGTATTGTCTTAAGATAATGTCAGCAAACAAGGGCCAGTCCAATGTTCGCATAGAGATGGCGATATCTGTGTAATTATAATGGGAATTGGGATAAGAAAATGATTTTCTTGCTCTCCCTTTTGCTTCAATTCAAAGAAACTTAGCGGTGGTGGGCTCATTTCTTCCTGTTATTACATGATTGCTGTGTGTTTGGTCACTCAGAAAATGCTTACGATACTGTATAAGAAGAAGAAGTCTCTTTCATGCTTTCTTTGTCAGGCTTTTTGGAGTTTTATTCAATGAGTATAACAGGTAACCAACCCTTCATATTCGTCGACAGAATAAAATGGCTGTGCGAAGAGAAAAAAAAAAAAAACCTTTAGTTTTCAAAGGTGAAACGCTATCAACAAATTTGATGGTTACATTTCTGCTTTTAAAATTGGGTTCCTTTGGTTTTGGTGTGAATTCAAGAGCTGGCTGGATTAGACATATGCTCAGACGAAGGACAAATTCCCTTCAATTAATTTCGAATTATCAGCAATTGCCGTGATCAGTCTGCAATAATTTTGAAGATTGCTTGTCGAAAAAGGAATAGCTAAAGCAATTATACTTAGATATTTTAGATTTTTGTACATGCCAACTTGATTTAAAATCTCACGTAGGCCCAGTTTTAGCAAAACATATGAACTTTGTTGACAAAAATAAATTCAATTTCAATCACAGCCAAAACCCCAAACTCCATTTGCCTCCCTTCTATACGCTGTCTCTAATATCACTAACATAATGGGTTTTCTCTAATGTGCAATTGCTTTGTGGAAGTCACTTCTTGAAGAGTAGTCATCAGGGAAATTCTTAGATTCTAATTTCAACCTTTTTTCCCCCTTAGCTTACCTAATAGGCTACGAGACCATTCAGGAAAAGAAGAAATGGAGATGATTAAGTGATGATCGAATCAGATCTCGAATCTTTGATTTATTCATCTTACTAAAGCATTCACTTAGGCTCCATTAATATACCATAAAACAAATAGAGACAAGACAAAAGTTATATATTCCTTACCAAAAAAGCCAATCAACCTCGACGGTCACTGTTAAGTAGAACAAAGTGGGAAAAGGAAGTTCCATCAAGCATCACCAAGTCACTATGAAAAGGGCTGCTCAAGATACTGGGAGAGGGGCAGGATAAGAAAAGAGAACTGTTGAAAAATTTTGATGTCAAGCAGCCAATTTTGAAAAAAGATTTTTTTTGCCCTTAGAAAAAAGATTTTTTTTTCTAAACCAAATCCTCTTTCAAACAATCTCTCATGCAATGAAAATGGCCAGAGATTTTCTGCCACGAACACAACCAAACAGACGATTGTGAGAAAATTTGGATAATTCCATCAAAATTCAGAAAGCAGAGAAAACGCCTAAAAAGGGTAACCCAAAGCATAATTTCAACAGCTAAACAAAATTAAGCAAATAATATTCACATACTTATTATCTCATATAGCATCAAAAACACAATAAAATATACTGACTCGACACAGTAATACGTATTACCGATTAAAGCTAACAAATACATCACAAATTCTTTCATAATTAATTAAACTGAACCTTGGGAAACTTTGTTTACCACTTTACCCTCGGCGCCGCCTCTCATTTCACCACTAACAGCAACGCCAACGCCTTGATATTGAGGTGGCACCACAACACCCCCCGGCGCAGTATAGTAAACCTGCCTGTCGTACGCTGCCATGTGTGCGTATGCAGTATCTGTTACTCCTCCACTCTGCGGCCTCATCACCTGCTGCTGCATGGCCGATATTGGCGGGTGTTGAGTCGGCGGAGGTTGGGCCATCATGTTGTAAACAGGTTGCTCCCGGTAGACTTCGGGTGACATTCTTTGAACGTTGGCGTAGTAGCCTTGACCGGCTTGTCCGGTTACTGGTCTAACCATTTGTGGTGCTGGTGCTGCAGCTGGAATTGGTGGAGGTGCATGGTAGACCGTGACCGGAGCCTGTCCTGGTGCTTGAATCATGTAAACAGGATGTTCCGCCGGCGGTGGTGGGCCTGGGGTTGTAGTTACGGTTGCAGGGAAACCTCCGCCAGAAATTTGTTTTTCCGGCCAATATCCAGCTGTAGGCGGCACATGTTGTTGTAAAGTTACCGGTAAATTCACCGGCGGCGCTTTTTCAGGTAATTTATGGGCGTAGTACTCCCCTGTATAAGGCAAAGAAGCAGCGTCTTCAGTCTTCTTTCTATACATAGCGAGCTGTTCTTGATCCCGAATTTGAAGCCTCTGAAATTCTTGTAACTGTCTTTGAATTTCAACCGGATTCAAAACATGATCCGACCCCACGACTTCCGGTACAGGAGGCGGAGGCGTGGTCACCGGTTCCGCCACGGGTTCGCGGATTTTCACAGGCGGAGGCGGAGCCATCCCTTTTTCAAGTCCAAACAAGAAATCCACGTTGTTTGGTGGAATAGCAGCGTTTTTTTCTCCTCCCGGAGTCGGACCAGAATTTAGAGCCTCCATGAACCGGTCCCGGTCCGATTTCGCCCCTTCGCTCCCAAAATTCGCAGAGCCAGTTGCCGGAAATATGAAAAGCCGCATCCTAGCAGGCTTAGCGGAGGCTCGATAAAGCCGATCGTACTCGTGCATCATGTGCTCGAGATCATCATCGTTAGTGACGGAAATAAGGGCGTCAAGGTCTTCGCCGGGGAGCTGGTACTTGAAGGAAACTTCGGCGTCGCCGCCGCAACAGAGGGCAGAGAGCTTGGAGATCATGGAGGAGAATTTGATGGTGCGTTCAACGGCTAGGATCTTAGTCTCTCCGCCGTTATAAGATAGCTGGTTGTCATGAGGGCGAGGGTGGATCTTGCCGCCGTAGCTGCACATGAACTTGGCCTTGTAATTTTGTGCATGCTGCGGTTGGTCCTCCCATGGCGGTGGATTTTCGAAATCGATTTCTCGGGATCGTGGCGAAGAGTCGCCGGAGTCAGGATATGAGTTATAAGAGTAATTCTCCATTATTTAAAAAGTAAAAGAAAAATGAAAATTCTACAGAGAGGTTCTGAGTGGAGAGTGTTTTATGGTTTGGAGAGAGTCAGTCCACGATGAAAAGCAAACTAAAATCTTGTGCCGTTTGTTAGGGGTTATTTGGAGGGGAGAGAGTGGGATATGGTGACCAACAAGTGCATGGAACTTGGGTGCTACGAGCAATAGTGTGGGCTGATTCAAGGTTGGATCAGCAAGAGACTTCGAGGTAAAGAGAGCGGGTTGGGGTCGAGCGTGGGAAGCGAGAAGTGGGGACAGAGGGAGGAATTGAGGGAGTGTTGGTGGGGCCGAGGGGTGCGTTTCTATTGATTGAGAGAGAAGCGATAAGAGAGTGATGTGTTGACTGGGATTGGACAATCAACGTTCACGGTTCACTCACGCGACACAACTCTCTCTCTCTCTCTCTCTCTCTCTGAAGCTGTAAGTGGCAAACACTTCACTTTTGGCCTCGGGTAATAGGATTCTCGCCTACACCTACGAGCGTTCCACCATTTCCCCACATGTGACTTACATTTGAGTATCTATACGTATTTGTTTTGTGTGTGTCCTTGTCATTAAAATTTATTCTAAATACATAACTACTCTTGAAATTTGCCATCAAAATTTCTCAAAACTTCAAATCAAACAGTTGTTAGAGTCTTCACACTGTTTTTTTACTTCCTTGTTGGGGTGGTAATGTCAACTACCACTTTCGTCTTCGAATAGGGAATGAGATTTGCGACGGACTTGGACTTGGTCCAAGATGAAAATTTTTACAGTTTTTATAATACAAATAATATTCAGGAAATCGGTAAATTTAAAATTAAGTTTAGTTGATTTATGTCAATTTTTTAAAAATAAAATTTTAAGTTTTAAATTTTAAAATCAATAATTATTTCATTTATTGATAAAATCTCAAATTTCATTTATCTCGTACTATAATTTTTTCTTTTTATAAAAAAAATCGTGAATTACGCGCAATGGGCTAATCGTGAGAAGTGCACAAGATGGCCCGCGTGGATAGCGTGGGAAAGCGAAAAAGTGCAGATATCGCGAAGCTCCTAAGACTTTATCTTCTGATCCTTCGTCTTCCACATTTGTTTCATCCTTTCGCTACCTCTTTTTTGGACTTTGCTAATTAAGTGTCATTATTGTACCAATTAAGATTAATTAAAGTATTGTTTATAATAATATTTATATTAAGTATAAATATTAATGGTTAATTTTATGAGTTTTAATTATTATAAATTATAACTTATTTAATATAATAATTATAAAAAACACTCAAACATTTGTTACTATTTTTTTGTTTATAAATGAATGTAATTTTATTCATCCAAAACTAGTATAAAAATTTAATTTATATAATCATGACTTCTAAAAAATAAGTCAATGAAATATCCATTTATCAATATTTTAATTATTATAAAAATTTTAATATATATATATTATATTATATTATATTATACAAAATTACTTGATAAGATGTGTTGATATAAACATCTATGTAACTAGTCTCTTTTTATGATACGTAGAATAATATTTACATTATATTATTTATCAAATAATTCTATTTAATAAATTATTTAAATTTAATATGTTTGGATAATTATGTAAATTTAATGTGTTTGGATAATTATTTAAATTCAAATTAAAATCTATAAAATATTAAAAATTTTACATAAATTTTAAATTCAAATATATTAAATTATAATTTATAAATTATCTTTCTTTTTTAACTTAATCATAATCCTAAATACATATAGGCTTAATAAAATTTTATTTATTGTCAAATAATTATTTAATAAATTATACAAATTAAATATTTTTTTGTAACATTTAAATTCAAATCAAAATTTATCAAAAATTAAAAATTGTACATAAATTTTGAATTTAAATATACTAAATCATAATTTATCTTTTCTTTTCAAATTTAATCATAATTTTACACATATATATATATATATATATATATATGTGTGTGTGTGTGTGTAAACTTAATAAAATTTAATTTGCTGAAATCAAAATCTCAAAATAAAAATAAAAAAGCTCATAAAATGAGAGCCTTATCTTTTAAACAATGTTATTTTATTCGTTATTATTATAATTAAAAATTTAATAATACAATTTTTTTATTTGACAATTATGGTTTATGAATTTTGATAGGAATTGATAAAAATTAGAAAGAATAATAATCACATCATACTCATGAGTAAGTAAATTCATTTTATACCTTTATTATTTTTTAATTTTTTAATTATTATTTTTTTAGTTTTAAAAATAAGTTTGTGATAACGTTGGATTGTTTTTTCTTTGATTTTATATATATATATATTTTTTTTAGATTTCAATAATAAAAGAAAAATGAGCACACATTTAGATCAGTTTCAACTAGGTAATAAGTATAGTTCATTATTTTTTTCATATTCTATTTCATTTTTTTTTTAATTATATCTCTATTTATTTGTTTCTTCCAACCTTTTATTTGGTTTTATTTACATTATATGATATATACATTTAGATTTGATTTATTTAAAAAAATTTGGTTCATATGTTTATATATATATATATATAGTTAAACTAAATATTTATTATGCATAAGTATAAGAGATTTAAATTATATATACGTTCTCAAATTGTATATCTGATCAAATCAAAATTTATAAAATATTAAAAATTTTACATAAAATTTAAATTTAAATATATTAATTTATAAATTACCTTTCTTTTTTAAATTAATCATAATTCCAAATATATATAGGCTTAATAAACTTTTATCTTGTGTCAAATAATTTTATTGAATAAACTACATAAATTTAATATTTTTGGGTGACTATTTAAATTCAAATCAAATTCTATCAAAAATTAAAAATTTACATAAATTTTGAATTTAAATATATTAAATTATAATTTATCTTTATCTTTTTAAATTTAATCATAACGTTACATATATATATGTATATCTATTTATATGTGTGAGAGAGCTTAATAAATTTTTATTTATTGAAATCAAAATCTCAAAAATAAAAAAAACTCATAAAGTGAGTGCATCACTGTCTAACCAATATTATTTTATATGTTATTATTAGAATTAGAAATTGAAGAATACAATCTTTTTTTTTTATTTGATGATTATGGTTTATGGGTTTTAACAAAAATGGACAAAAGCTATAAATAATAATAATTATGTCATACATGAATAAGTAAATTATTTTATTTTTATTTTTTAGTTTTAAAAATAAGTTTGTGATGGTGTTGGATTGTTTTTCTTCTTTATAATATTGATTTTTGCTTTTCTTTTCTTTTTTATTAGATTTCAATAATGAAAAGAAAATAAGTGCATATTTGGCTGGGTTTCAACTTAATAGGTATAGTTCATTATTTTTTTATATTATATTTTCTTTTTTTAATTATTTTATTCTATTTGTTTGTTTCTTCAGATTTATTATTTGGTTTTATTTGCATTATATGATATATGCATCTAGATTTGATTTATTCTAAAATAAATTGGTCCATATGTTTATATAGTTATATATATATATATATTGTTAAACTAGATATTTGCTATGTATAAGTACAAGATATCTAAATTATATATAATTCTCAATATGTATGTTTGATTTATGTTCTAATAACTATGTATGTTAAAGTATATATGTAAAAAAATAAGAACTAATAAAAAGCAAATGGTTATGAGAAAATTAATAATTATGTTTTGTAGTTCAATCATATATTATTATTATTATTATTATTATTTTTATTTTTGGTTTAGCTTTATAAGATTTAATAGTTTAAGAATTCTTTGCTAATATAAATGACTTTTACAATTTAATCAAATGATATATTTTTTTATATATATTCATTTCAACATGTAAATAATTATTAATCTTGACTATTTTCTTTTTAATAACTCAAAGTAAAATTTTATTACAAGTGGTGAAATGGTTATAAATATCCAATCATAATTGAGAGTACAATAAAATACAAAAAGAATATAAACCCTAAAGAAATTATACCAATATCATGTGAGAAATCTAAAAACGTAGATAACAATATTTCTAACACTAAAAAAATAAAAAATAAACCAATAATAAATATCTTGATTATTTAAAATTGAAATTTGTTTTTTTGATCAAACAAGAAAAAGCGAGTAGTAAAATTTTAATTGTTTAGTAAATGAATTAAAAAAATAATTTTTATGAAAAAGAAAAAAAATTATAATTTTTTGAAATTTTACAAAAGCTTTGACTTTGAAAAAATATTACAATATGTATAAATTCTTATTTAATTGTATCTTAACGTTTATGAATATACGATTATATATAATAAATCAATAAATATATACATATTTTTTATTAAAATAATATAAAAAATTATGATTAATAAATTTTTTTAATTATTAAAAATAATAAAAAAATCCCATACATGGCACGGGTTAAAAAACTAGTTGATTAATAGAATTATCAAGGGGTTGAATTTTGTGAAGTCTGCGTTCCAAATACTCTTTTATTTTTATCCATCCAATCTTCATAAATAGAAGCATTCCAGGCATGTTTAAGAATAGTAATAAAAGGGATTTATCTTTTAATCTAGTTTTGATAAAAAAAAATTTATAATACTAAATAATTTTATCTAAATCATGCCTTTAATTAAATAATTGAAGGATATCTTCACAAATTATTTGACATTATTTTTTTATTCTAATTTCCTTCCCCTGAAATGATGAAAAACCCAATTACTTATTTGCAATATACCACTATTAAACCTTTTGAAATTGAAGCAAGCCACATGCCTTCTGTCATTATCTTTAAACGTGTGCTCTCACAGCGATGACAATGAGTACGAATTTTACTATAATGTCACCCTTTTCCCTAATGGTGTGAAAAAAAAAAATTGCAGTCTCTAAAGTCAGACACATCCAAATTGCGATGGTGGACTAATGATTTCCGTCAATAATCATTCATTTGTAGAGGAAAAACATGGGAGTAATGAATTCGAAAGCAGTAATATTTACTTCAACAATAATGGGAATGGGCAACAAAAGAAAAAAATCGTAGAAAGTGTGATTAGAGTTAGCAAAATGGAGGAATTTTATGAGTGTATTTGGTTTATAAGAATTTATAAATTTATTTTGAAATATTGATGATGGATATTTGATTTTTATATTTAATTTAGAGTAATTCAATTACAGGATAAAATGTTAAATTGTTAACGGTACTCAAAATTTCGAAATTAAATTTTTATCTCTCTTTGTGATATTTTAGGATTTCGAAAGAAAATTATCTTATTTTTAAATTTGACATGAATAAAAAATGATGAAATAATTGTTATTTTTTTGAAAAGTAATTTGTAAGTGACTGAAATTTAGTTGTCGGTTTTTATACAAATTTTGTTTATATTGCAATTAAGGTGTTTGATATGAAGAAAATTCTTAAATAATCATTTTATATTTTTATAAATTGATTATTTAAAGCATTTTGTATAGAAAACGTCTTAAATAATATTTTTATATTTTAAAGTTTAGGGTTAATCTTTTTATAAAATGATTATTTAATGTGTTTCCATATAGAAAATGTCTTAAATAGTTATTTATATTTTAGGATTTAGGGTTTTTATTTTTATAAGAGATTATTTAAGGTATTTGTTACATAAAATGCCTTAAATAATCATTTTTATTTTTAATAAAATGATTATTTAAGGTGTCTATATTTAATAAAAAAATAATTTAAGATGTTTTATGTATAAAATATCTTAAATGATCGTTTTATAAATAAATTAAATGAATATTTTTAATTTTTTTTCATGATAAAAAAAGGCAAACGCACTAATTGACTTTTTATCTAATAATTTTTCTTATCAATTTCTGTTACTAAAAAAAGTATCAGATGCCTCAATTGATGATATTTTATAAATAAAAATAATAATTCTTTTATTGCTAAAGGCATCATTTATCGTTTAGATATTTATTATTAATAAAATAAAATAAAAAATTACCATCATATATGTCAAAAAGATTATGATAATTATATAATAATTAATATAAATGGATTCTTCAAACCAAATAAGTGAATTTGAAGGATGCTCTGAAAATGAAAAAACTTCGAGTATTGCACTTTTTCGAAAATCGCACTTTTTTCGAAATTTAAGATTCTATGAATCAAACACCTCTTATAAATTATTTAAAAATATTTTAGATTAAATTTTAATTAATATTGACATTCATTATACTACTATAAAAATATATCGTAATTACAATAAATAGTGATTTTATGAATTTAAAATTTAATTTAATTAAGGTTTCATTTCGATGGACGGTGAAATTAATTGCGGTGAGATTGAAAACAATAATAAAATTTATTGTAACTGTGATTGACAAAAAAAGTTACTGTAATTACGATTAAAAAAAATTTAATGAAAAATTTATATTGACTTGATCTTATTAAAATTGGTATTTAAATTCAATTGAGAGTGTGATGAGTTTAATCCAATATAGTGAGATTCAAACGGCTACTAAATATGTTAAAGTGGTCTAAGAATCCATTTATAAAGTGGGTTCACATGTGGTAGTCATTTTGCTTATAGCTTATTTGGGATTGCGGCTAATACCAGCCAACAGTCAAAAAGTAAGGCAGCTTTGACAACTATTTGCCTAATTTGCTACATCTTTGAGGCATTTAGAATGTGGCCTGGTCAGTGGTCACTAAACACAAGAAGTTGCAATCTACTACGTTTCCATTTACGACATTGAAATTTAGTTAACTACTCCCAAAAGGGGGATTCAGATTTCAATTCATTTTTGCATGTAAAGCTGTGAAGATCATTGGAAAATGTAAAAATATCAACAAAAACAATCTCTGTCATTAATGGAATCTCCTGCACGACAAATAGATTTTGGTAATGTGACATTCACATTTCCTTTTTTGCTGTCCTCAAATAACCCACAATTTTCAAGAATTAAAAAAAAAAAAAGTTTGACCCTTGACAGTTAAGAGCTGTGATACAGAAAACCTGAACGACTTACAACTGTTTTTGGGGATTTAATAGTATTGTTCTTTCAGATTCTGTAATTTTTTACAGCTTTTTGCCTCTGATTCATTTTGAACTTTTGAGGTTTGATTAGACTGATGAAATGAAATTCATATATAAAATTTTTCTTCACATGGAAATGTGATGAATAAAAATGAGCCACTTATTCCCTATTGGACCTGGGTTGAACTTGTTTGGGCAAGTTCAAATAGGTTTGTCTTAGCTAACTGGGACCAAGCTATGGCTATTAATTTTAGACTTTTAATGGGAATTCAGGCAAATCGTAGCCCATCGCTTGGAACCAGCTATTGTAATAGGCCCAATTGTTACTTGCTGGACTAAATTACTAGTGTCTAATACTACCATAATTTCATAGAAAATTTGGAATAAGTTTAATGGTAGTTCAAGAGGCTAAAGAATTCATCTGACACTCTTTTGTTACTGGGTTTCGAGTGTTTATCTGGGGCACATAAATTGTTCTTTTTTTGTTTTTCTTGGCTTTTCACATTTAAGCAAGAGATTTGACGTAACGTGTAAACCTTAACCAAGGTGATAAACATTGCCGAATAGCATTGGTTCCATCCAATAATGATTGAAAAAAGCTCAACAACTCTTCAATCATTTCGGCAAGTTGGTAAAACACGTTAAAAGTTAATACCTATATCTATGGTACTAGTGCTTCTTTATTTGTCTCTTATATATGGTCCCATCATTCCTTATTTCTCCAGTTGGCGTCCTTGAGGCCTTGACTCCGAGCAAAGGTTTTCACTTTTCATTTATGTATTCCAAAACTACTCCCAACTGCCAACCTACCATTTTATCTACTCAAAGTCTCAAAACAAATTTTGACAAACCTTCTCCTTGCCACTTTATTCACTGCCCTTCTCTCCCAACCCCATTAGAGTAGAGGGTGAGAATGGGAAAGGAGTTGCGGTTGCTTTGAATCCCAAATTGATATGTTGAGTTACTAGTGTAAGGAAGCGGTAGAGAGACTGAGAAAGAGGAGGTCAAGACTTCTGATAGACAATCAATCTGCCATTACAATAAAATAAATTCAGAAAAGATAGGTTATAATTGATCAGTAACAGATAAAGGTAAAACTGATAGGAATGTCCACATAAAAAATTTTGTAGTAAAACATATAGATGGTTGCAATCTGAGGCTTCTGTAGCCTCTTCTGTCTTTGAAAACCATTGGAATTTCAACAACTCGTTCTCAAAAGATCTCTTACAATCTAGTGCATCTCAATTAACACAGTTGAATTTCCTCATACGCATGCTGAAATCACCATATGTGAGGAGCATCTTTAAATTATAATAACATAAGCCATATCTAACTATGAGTTCCCAACAATGGTGTTGTTAAATCACAAGCATTAATTAAACATAATGTTCAGACAAAGGAATTTTTGTATCAGATACTCCTTTCTTCAGTCTTCTCATCCACGACATCACTCCGGAGATCCAGTCCCGGTGGAATCTTTCCTGGATAATTAGTTGTTGGGGGGTCTAATCCCATCATACTAGAGAAAAAAAGAGTCAATAAGAAGTATGAACAAGCCAAATTCAGTATCCATAAGAATTTAAAACAAGCTGAAACAGTAAATTTTGTGTTTTACATCAGCTTACCTTCTGTCGACAATGACCATGGAGCGAAGCTCGCAATTTGTAAAGCTGTGAGTACTAGGTAGAAGAGTTATTTCTATTGGAAACAGGTAACATCTCAACGTAATTCTAAAATTGTCAATGAGATTCAAAGTTAAGGCCCTTTTTATTGTCATTTTAAGGTAGTATTTTCTGATAAACAACTTCATCACAGAACAATACTAGACTAAAGAGGTAAACTGTGTTTGGTTGTCAAACTTTTTAACTCATTAACTATCTTTATGCACTTTCTTTCCGGGAACACCAGCACTCTAGTTTTGTTTGAAAATGCATTTCTGTCAAGAAAATTTTCCTGCCTTAAAATGCTTACATTACAAGTCTAACCAGAATTGGTCAAACGCTAGAACCATAAAAAGTACTCTAAGATTAAATGGCATTCTTGCATCAAATGTGACCTAGGTGCAAAATTAGGTTGTTTTGCCAGGTTGAAAGGCCAAAACTTCAATGCAACTAATAGCTGTATAATGAAAAGAGATGTGCATGAAGAAAGTAATTTGCAAATGAAAAATGCAGGCACAAGCATGTGGAAAAAGTATAAACCATATATATGCAAAAGAAGAGAACATATTAAATAATTGAAAATTGCATTATATAGCAGGTTTTGAGCTCAACTGGAACTGCCAGGACATCAATTTGAAAGGATCGGATATAGAGAATAAACTGCATTGACTGCACCAGAAGCTACCAAGCTAAAAGTCTTGTTTAAAATAGTCTAGAGTCACAGGATTGAACAGCTAAAGTGAAGGCAGTTAAGGATACTTACTGTTTGCATATTTCTTTCTTCACCAATGGATGACAATCATTTCCAAATGCATTTAATGTATGAAACAAGAACCCACTATGAGTAACAATCGCTATCTCCTTCTCTTTCCGTGTCCACAACCTGCAAAGTGAATATAAAGAAGCCTAAGAATTTTTTGTATGTCTATCAAATTAAAGATCTAATGCTCATTGTAGCTTTCCATGGGTGGTATTGTCGCCTGGAAAGACACAAGGAAAGATACAGAAAAAAAGAAAAAAAAAGGTTCTTGCAAAGAATAAGAACTTCAAAGACCTATCTTTGTTAGAAGTTGTAAATGTCAAGAAAGAGTAAATCAAGTAGAACAACAGAGGATGGGATCAATTAGAAAGATTTCCTTGACGCAAAAGTTCTGAAATTTATTTTTGATGACAGTACTTGAATAAGCCGTATCAGAAACTTAAGTTGCAACAGAATTCTGATATAATGCAACAGCCATATTGTTTAACTTTAGTCCCCTTGCCTTCCAAAATAAGATACATTAATTCTGGATTTTCTATTCTGAAATCTAATGATTTCAAACAGTACCTGAATTATATGCATTAGTTTCTATGTACCATCCAATAAGGTTCCCCTTCCGCTCATTTTAAAGATCTAATAAAGAAGTGGTCCAGCCAATGAAGAGTTAATAAGGTTTGCACCAGTTTAGGAACTTTAGCCCCCTGGCTGCAACTTCTTCTTTTGTCTCCCTAATGTCAGCCTTCCACCATGTGTCCTCATCACTTTCTATCTGAATAGGAATTCAAAAGACATTCAACGTATGCCTTTGAAAATGACCAGAATCTAGCAACATTTGGTTCAGATATCAAAAATTTAAACAATAACTTGTTTAGGGGCATCTTAGAGACTGAATAACTTGCCAGTGAGAAATCAATTGCAGGAAAAAGAAACTGATAGTCACTGATATTTCTCCTCTTATCACAAGGATGGACTCCCTGCAAACCAAAAAAAAATTACCCGATGTCTGCAATATGTTTAAAGGAGCAAATCATAAAGAGAGAAAATAAAAATGCCCTCTGGTTTGAAATCGGGCAATAAAAAAACTAGTGCATTTTGAGAACCAAATATGTTTAAACCAATTGAATTTCCTGTTAACCATCTTATATTCCAGCAATATTAAGGTTAATACTGTGTCCACTGATAATACATTTAGAGGGAACTGTTACTGGATAAAATTGAAATGAGACTAACCAAATGTTCTCGACAAAGTTCTACCACAACAATTGGTGGGCAATTTAGACTTGATATTGCAGCACGGCCACTATTTCCTGTATTTGCCACCATAAGTGGTACTATATCCGTCCTAACGGTGTAACCTTCACCACCAAATACACCCACAGCTGTTTGCAATGTCCTACAACATAAAGTGAGCATTGTCAATTAATACATGTCTAATAAATTCAATGGGTTTTTTATAATCCAAATTTAAATTTCCAAGGGACTGATACTAAAATTTATGATTCAACATTCAATAAAATTTGTTCACAAAACTAATATGGAACTTTATTGATACCAAGTTTTTACCAACTCGAATTATAATAGATAACTTCAAAGCCTAGTTGAGACAATTAATAGCAGACAACGCCCTCTTTAATACAAAAAGCAACAGCTTCATTGAAGACCAAATGACTGACAAAATGAAATTTAGTCACGTGTACTGGGCCAGAGTAATAATCCCAGCATCACCCTCAAGTGTGAAGAACAATAAAAGAATTTGGAATTAAATTTTCTGTCCACAATTACCACTGATTAATACCAGATCTTAATATGAAACTCTTTAGCTAACACATAATGGAGAATTCAGCAAATCAGAAACCTGCATGATTCATAAGAGGTCTCAACTTCATGCCCACTGAATTACTAAATTCAAAAGACTGGGAGTATGAAATGCTGGCACTGCTACCTTAGCAAAGGGGATGCAATGACTAAATCAATCCTCTTAGCAAGGCCACATTCATGGACATGCTTACACAAATTATCAACCTGCAACATTACCAATAATAAGACTTCATTCAAGATTCCTGCTTTGGATTACAAATAAGCGTATGGCCTGAATGAGGTTAGATTTAAAACATGCCTATATATGAAAACATAATGATCACTACTTACCTGTTGCCAGCCGGGAGGATTAATGTGTGCATCAAAATATTCCGGAGACATGTATGCTTTATAGTTCTTATCTCCCTCTACATTGTGGATCCCCTGAGCATGCCTCACCTGGATGTATCGTTTTATAAGACCACAATGCCTTGATTTGCAAGCAAAAGCCAAGAAAGAAGGCAGTCTTGAATATCCTTCAAACCAAATATATAGCAGCTTCATATCTGCAGTGGATGTAGCATATGAATTGAAAAATAAATTTGATACCAACCAGGTGAAGAGTTTTGCAGCGGTGCAAAGGGAACAAACTTGGGCGAGCACTTGTATCCATATCTGCAACCAATAAAATAAGGCAAAAAAAGAGCGTAAAAGAAAAATTAAATACCGTGAGAAGTTCAATCAGAACAAGGATTTCAAAACTGAATACAGTCAATAGTATAACTATGTCTCAGGTAGAATAGCAAAGAAACAAGCAAGTTTAACAGCAGAAATAACTCAACAATCATGCATGGTGTAAGGCAGAAACCCGTGCAATGCACCATAACAACAGGAACTTACATTGTGACTACCAATATCACTATATTAGGGGCTCAATTGATCCTCTATTAATGTTTTACAATAACCAAGCTTGAAAACACTTAGTCAAATCTAGCTTTTAGGTTTCCTATTGACTTTGTTTCTATCGAAACTCATTGTTCTCTTTTCTTAGCCTCCAAATTGGTACCTTACTATGCATGTGGTGTGTATTATACTTTGTCAGAAAAATTTAACAGTAACTAGGCCTATTCCATGCTGAAAAAACCCAAATGTCTTAGATTTGCTTATTGTTATGAATGTTATAAAATGACAGCCAAACAGTCAAAAACTTGAGATCCCATCTTCTAAAAAGTCCAATGACTACTGCATCATTCAAAAAGCTAATGAATTTACACCAGAATCAACAAACCCAGAAGCCAAAATCCATCAAAAGTAATTCAAGCTCGTATCTTTCAGAGAAAGACCACTGATTTCCACCAACTCACAAACCATCGTCTCCTCACAGCCTCCCAATAAAAAAGTAATCAAATCTGCACCTTCAGTCAAACCTATAGACTAAATCAAAGGTATCCACACTGAATCAAACAAGAAAAATCATAAACTAAACCCCAAAACAGAAATATTTTTGGGTACTAATCTAAACCGGAAAACCCCACATTATAACTAACATCAAGATAATCCATCTGGGAAAAAGATGCATCAGCAAAGTTAGCAAACATTCAAAAAGAAAATGCTCGTAGTTTTGAGGTATCTAATGACTAACCAGATCCGGATAGAGAGAGAAGGTGATGAGGTGAGCAACGGAGTGGGGATGAGGTTGACTGGGATCTAACTGCAATAATAGAGGAAAAGGAGGAAGAAGAAGAAGAAGATGATGATGATGATGAAGAGGAGAGGAATGCCAGAGAATTGGGTTGATAACGTGTAAGCCTTGGACTGTAGCTTATGCCAATAGACATGGTGCTGGTATTATTTATTCGTACTAACATTTTTTGTGTTGTCTGTTCACTTTGGAGTTTGAGTTTTGCTGTCTGTCCTGTCAGGGCCGCTATCATCTATCATCTTTCCCTCTGTTTGTTCTGTCTCAAAGACAATGACAGTTACAATTAACTTTTTTTTTTTTTTTTACCAAGAATTACAGTTAGTAACAATCTGTCAAATCTACAATTACAATTTACAAATATGCTTTCTTTCATTAAAAAAAAAAGAATTTTGGAGGAAAAGGATTTCGATTTTTTGTAATGTTTTTTGTAATTGAAGGGAAATTTTTACTATCAAGAAAATATTTTAAAAGAATTTTACATCAGGCAATTTCGAAAGATATCAGATGATGATGATGATGATGACCAAACAGCTTGGGATATTGGCTGTCGACAACCATGGAAAAACAAACAATCAAATAATTCAGCGATTCTTAGCCACAAGCCAAAAGGGGAAAAGAATTTCCTCTTAATTGGTGATATAGTAGGAATAATTGTTGCAGGATTGACCATTTCAATGGCAGATAATGGTTGGTAAGAAACCGTAATAGTTAAAAGAATAAGTATGCTGCCTCCATTTGTCTCATAATAATCAAAAGGAAAATGGTTTCTTTCATACAAAACATTTTCGAATGAAATGTTAACTATAATGCCAATTGAATAATCCCTCAAACTAAAAGGACGCCAGTTCAATTTGTACGTGAAATCTCATATGAGTGCCTTCTTCAGACTAGTAAAGAATGAAGATCCTTTGATGTATGTACAGTTTGAAATTTCCTAAGCCCAGTCAGTTCACTTGTTTCAGGTCAAACTAAAATGGAACAACATCTCTATCCATTAGGATATATTAGGTAAACAAAATTATAATAAAATAAAATAAAATAATATTATGAATAAAATTAAAGTAAATAATATTATCTTATTTTATATTTAATATATACAAAAATTAAGATAGAATAATTTATTTCTTGATCAAAATTATCTTTACTTAAAGTTTATATAATTTAAATTATTAATATAATTTTTAAAAATATAATAAAACATAGAAGTTCAATCTCATAAATAAAAAATAATATTCTTTACTTTAAGAGAGTGAGTTATCCTAAACCAAGAAGATGATTAATATCAAATATAATATAAAATGATTATCATCCTATCTTATGTATCATTTTATGTACCAAACATAACCTTAATGAATTGATTATAGAAATTCCCAAGCCACTCCTCTGTTTCTGCACCATTTGTACTCTTCCCATGGAGCAAGAATGAAGACATGAAGAGCCTGAAGCATAAAACAGAAATAATTATTGGGCAACAACTTAATGTTCTGAGCTTTCCACAAGAAAGAACCCAAATCAAACTAAGACTATCCAGGGCAAGGGCTAGAGGAACCAGACTTCTGAGAGAAAAATTAAGCACAGAAGCATGACAGAATGGCATGGATATCTAGTTTTCCTCAATTTAGAGTAAGAGATAAGATTTATAGCCATCGAAGCCAGCATCCAACAAGAACTTGGAGAACTTTCTCAATCTGCGGCCAAGAGATCTTTCACATATGAGCCATACCTGTATGAACGCTCTAAAAGTACAATGAGTTTCCTACCCACTCATTAACTGATCACTGCTGTGAGAAAACTCTGATAAACTCAAAGAAGCAGGATCATTTTACCATTTCTTTGCAACCACTAGTTATAGTCTTTCCCAGACATGCCAATTCCAAATATAATTCCCAAGAAACATCTTTCTTTGTCAAAGAATAATCATTCCAGAAAGCTTCAGTTATCCAGCACTTAAGCAAAAAAATGCTTCAAACAACCAACATTTCTTCATCCCTTTCAGGCACCACAACATCTTCCCTCATTGTACCAGCATAATTGTCAGGCACGTTGGCACCTGCCTGTGCAAACAGCTCCACCACTGCAGGCAGCATACCATAGTACCTCTTCAAATCATTTACTAGTGGTTTCTCACTTTGATGATCTCGTATGTGCCACACATACACAGGAGGAATTACATCATCAATAGTTGCCTCCTGCCATGCATGCTGCCCATCCCTCATCTGATGCTTGTAAGCTTGACAATTTCGAACCCTGTGACCTTTAGGCCCCACCTGGACCTCTGAACAGTATCCACAAGTTTGGACAGCATATTTTTGCATAAGTCTTGATGCTCTGGAGCGCATTCTCTCCCATACATCCATCCCACGAACAGCAATACCTATTCCGGATATCAAACAACTTTGATCAAGCCTATCAGCCAAATAATAAAACTATAAGGTTATCGAGTATTGCTTATGGTATTAGAGATCAAATTTGAAAGTACTTTGTCAATGTTTTCATCTAAAATTTCTTGAATAATGATATACAACAATTAATTGGAGAATTTTTTTGATAGTTGGGATTACCAAGGATTGAATTGTAATCACTAGAACTAAAAGTCCAGTACTCTACCAACAGACTTCATGGCTGTTGGCAACAATTAATTGGAGAATTATTCAAAGAGACATAAGCATATTTGACAATATGAGGCAGAGTTGCTCAGATCAAGAAGAAATCAATCATAAGTTAAGAAACCAAAAATATAATAACAACAATATTGGACCTTGCAGATCAGCAGGCTGCAGCTCTATAAACTTGTTATAATCACTGGTCTTGTTTCTCTTCGACCAAAACCCACATGCATTTATTTCTTTGCCGGGTGCATCTTCTTTAGGAAATCTCCTCTCAAAGTCTATTATCCTACCAGAAATACTGTAAGCAGGGAAGACTCTTCTCCTAGTTGGATACTCAGATAAATTGATGCCTGCTTGGACACATAATTCCAGAATTGCTGGAATTCGATCCACTTGGAGCCGTTCATTATGAGAAACAGCTCTTCCTAGCCTGTCATATAGATGAAAAGATTCCACAAGAGGCAAGACATGTTCAACATCACCTCTTTTCCAACTGTGCTCTTTGCTTGCTGCACTTCCCATGACATTGCAGGTTCTGATCTTATGCGGTGGATGGCCAATGTGAACTTCTCCACACACACTGCACCATGAGCAAAATATATAAACTTTATGAAAACCTATATGACCAAATCAAAGATAATAAACCAAAATATTTAAGCAAGCTACTTTTGGGTTTAATAAGTTAGCCACATTGCACCAAGTGATAGTTCACTTTTAATTTGGGATTTCTGAGCTAGTAATATCATATTCTATCAAAACCTCGTTACTGGGAGACTATGACGTCTAAGTCTAATCTAAAATAAGCTAGGATCTAGGACAAGCCATTGTCAGCATTACAATCATGAACGGTGAAAACTAATTCTAGTTATTAAGCTTAAGCATTTAGATGACATAAGAGCTATGCTGCTCTCACTCTTCAACTTATATCCATACTTTGAAGCTAAAGTTCTAACATCCCAAAGATAAGAAAAACCATAGACAAACAGCATACTGTAGTACTATAAAAAAGGGTTCTTCCTTAATAATTTCAAAGCAACATGGAATAAAAGATGCCTAGAATAAATGCTCATAAATAATTGTCAACTCAGATGACGTGAAAAAAGCTCTTTTCTGTTTTTACCTGCATGAATATATTGCAATACTCTGGGCAACCTTTGAAACAGAAGAGCATAGTTCGGTTCGGGCAGCATAAACTTGATGAGCAACAGGAATCAATTCTTTAACCAATAACCCATTTTCAGGAGGTTGTAGGACCCTTTCACGCACCATCTGTCTTTCTTTCCTTTCCGCTCTACCAATACGCTTCAGTTCATTAATATTTGTTACCCATGGCTTCCGCTCCGTTTTCTTGAGCTTCCTTGGAAGGTCTGTGCAAGTCTGCCCAGTAGAGTATAAGCCACGCTGATGATTCAACTCTTTTCCAACAATTGAGTTTGTCGAAGAATTTCGCAAAGCTATGTCCCGCAGCTTCATTATGATTCGGGTTTGTCTTGACAACATTGCTGTTAATAGGGATTCTTTTTCCCTTTTCATTTAGACATTTTCACAAACATTTTACAATCAATGTCAGAAAAGAAATGCCGAATGCCCAAAAATAATGAAAACAATAGCATGAAAGAATCAATAAAAAAGAACGCCATCTAACAAGGAGCAAAGGCCTAACCTTAGACTTCAGAGCGTTAAAGTCACCGCCAATTTTTGGTGCTGGGAGACACTACTAATACCATTCGTCTCTTCCATCCAACGTCGGCTAACGGCTTCATACATCTTATAGCACGCTACAGTTATGACACGTTCTTTAAATAGAACAACGATTAATTGGGTTTTAAATCTTAGCAAGCAAAAAGAATGAGCAATTTGGCGGCCCTTTCAAAGAGTTTATTTTTTTTAATACATGAGGTTATTAAAATTTAATTTTAATTATGAAATTAAAATTTTAATATTTTATCAAATAAAATTATCTTATTATGGGTAGTAAGATCACATTCAATTCTTGTTATGATTATGAATACAAATTAATGAAATTTATAACAAAACACAAGGATATGCTTAATATATAGTTATAAGCAAAATCACTTCAATAATGATTTTTTTAAAATATTTAAAATTTTTAAAAATTAAATTTTAATTATTAAAAATTCAAAATTCAACATTATATAATCAGACTACATAATTATATTTATTTTATTTTATTTTATTTTATATTTCCTTTTATCTTTGGACACTTTAAAATGGTTCAGATATGCACATTGATATAAAATTTTATATTATGTTTTCAACATACCAAAATTCAATAATTAACCTATGGGTAGGAAAAAAAATTAAATAAAAAGAACTCACTGTAATTTGTAATAGTAATTAATAAATTTTGAGAAAGAATGGGCCTCCGAGCTGGTCCAACCATCCAATATAGAAGAATTCAGCCTTTTGCAAATGGAAACTTAAAAGTAAAAAACCATGGGCCGGGGTGTAACCCAAAAACAAAGTCATCTGCTGCAACTGCTGGTCGCCCTCGCTACCGTAGAGACGTAAATAAATAGAGTTGAATATATTCGATTTTTATTTATTTATTAATTTTAATAAATAGATTTAATTAATATTTTTATGTTTATTTATTAAAGGAATTAAATACGAATAAAAATTTATTTAATTTCTTTATAATCATGAATAAATTATTTAAAATTTGTTTAAAATTTATTTTTAATTATTCATTTATAATAATATTTATATATATTTTTATTTTTATTTTAATTTTATTTTAAGATTTATTTATTTTT